ATAACCATTTCTTATTATTGTTGAAAACTGTTGTGTTTTCAACCCTAATCTTAAAGCAATGTTTTTGTAGCAACCGTGATACTTTTTTTTTCTTTGATGAATAGGAAGTTCAAAATAACAGCATGTATTATTACAATAGCAATATTGACTACACATTCATGATACTCTAATACTTTATTGCATGGTACACCCTCAAAAAGTGTATTAAAATGTCACCTCTATAGTTCTGACTGTCAATGAGCTCTGAACCAAATCCTTCGATTCACAATTAATCAACTCTCTCTCTCTCTCTCTCTCTCTCTCTCTCTCTCTCTCTCTCTCTCAGTCTGTCTGTCTTTCTGCTGGTGCCCTCTGTTGGCATTTTCTAGCATTATCTAGTACAATCTCCCTACAGTAACTCTGGCATTAGCCCAAGGGTAAAGAGCCTCTCAATGAATGATTGAATGATGGGTGGACGCCCACATCTGCTGCTTCAGCTCCGTTTCATCTCAAACACTCTCTGTCTCTTATCTCAGCTGAGGAAATCTTGACATCAACCACCATTGAATATTCATGCCTAATTTCAAGGCATAACTGAGCTTATAACTCTCCCTTTTCCTTTTACTTTTACTTTTACTTTTTTTATACTCAAATTATTTATTAAGCTCCACTAATTAATGTTTTATACTTTGTGCTTTCAAGCTTTTCAGTTGGATTCACTCATACAGTATGCATGCGGTTTAACGGTCTCCTCTTTGTGTTTGGAGTTTGTCCAAAGCTAACTGGTGTTTAATTACAAAAGTTTCTATATTTTTATGTTCCAATTCAAATGACTCTGTTTCTTTCTTTTATGGGCATATATTTTGGGATTAACACATTGGAATGGTAAAATCTCAATTGTGCCCAAAAATTTGATATTTTTTGGCTTCACTGCATTTAAATTGTACAGCAAGTGGGAGCCTTTTCTAAAACTCTCTCGTTTTCTCCAGTGTTTAAAATAAGTCATGGCAGCCTTCACTGCATTTCTACACATCACGGCAGAACACCTGACCACTTGCATGAGAGCCATCAGCCTTTGACGGGGTCCATACCCCTAAAATATCCTTTGCATTGCATTAAAAATGAGCAAGAGAAGGAAAAGTGTAGGATATAAGACTGCCTTACATGGATAAAAGAGATCAACCAAAAATTAAATCCACTCACCCTCATGTCTTTCATAACATTTATGTATTTCTTTCTATAGAAGATATTTTGAAAAATGTCTGTGTTGTTTGTCCATGCAATGAAAGTGAAAGGGATCCAGTGTTGTTTTGGACCCTACTGACTTTCATTGTACACTACAAAAAAAATTGGTAAAGAAATTGTTAGTAAATCTCACAAATAATTCAAATAGCAGGTAAAACAATGAAACTGAATAAAATAATCATTTTCAAGTAGAAAGACTGAAACAGTATTTGATTAAAAACATGCTGTTTTATTTACATCTTCAAAAAATCATTTTTATAGTATATGGACAAAAACGTTCATTTTTGGGTAAACTATTCTTTTAAATGTTCTTTGGGAAATAGTGACGTCATGATTCCCCTGATTTCAAATCCAGGCCTTTCAGAGGGGTCGAAAATAATATTTTTTGAAAATTACAGTATGTTTCATTGTAGGATAATCTCTCAAACAAGTATAACTTGATATAAATATCAAGAATATTCTGATTCTCCATTTCAAGACCCATTTAAAGAAAATTCTGGTTTATTGCATTAGAATTTCATTCTGACATGCAGATACCAGAATACAATGCAAATTAGCATTCACCGTCTGTATAAAAGTAATTTATGTGGAATCATGTAATGCATTTGGCCGTAACTGCTGTTGGTTTGGTAGATCTACTCTCAGCCGGTTTGGCGGGCGATCTAATATACCCATATAAACACAAACCCACTTTTTTACTGCCATGCTGTTTGGCTTGTTGATTTTGTTTAGTGAATGCTTGAGCAGTGATCCACTGAATGCCTTCAGTTGTGGACTGCGGAGTGGTCCACACACATAAACAAGCACACACACAAGAGAAAACGCTCCCCAAGAACAGTGGCAGACTCTTGATGCTCAGTGCTGGCTGGCCAAGTGCAGGAAATCCAATTACAGGGATCAGAGGGCTGACAATGGTGGAGCAGCCCTAGTCCAAATTACACACCTGCCAGACCTGCCCTCTTCCTCTCTCTCTCTCTGTCTTTTGCTGTCTCTCTCTCACAAACGCTCTGCAACATTCTCAAAGAAGGATTGGCTCGGTGTTTATTAAGCCCCCCCATATTGTGACTGGCTAGTTCTTTTAGTTAACAATTCTGTTGAAGCATTTAGCATCTACTGTTGTTACAGTAGAGCTGCATTTTTGTTTTCTGAGAGGTTTGTTGTTACTTTTGTTTTCTATTATTTTTTTTCTTTTGCTCTATTATTTTTTTTCTTTTGCTCACTGTTTTACGAAGGTCATAGTAAATCCAATTTACCATGGCATCATCATTTTTTGTTATTTTTTCATTTGGTATATAGATTGTTTTTGCCCCTCTCCCAGGCCTAGAATTTCAGTCTTAGACTATGACTAAGACTAAGTCCATCATAAAAAGATGAATTATTAAATGTTAAAACTAAGATATTCTAAACGAAGACTGGGCTTTTTAACTTATAACTGAGCTAAAATTGACCTCAGTTGCTCTGTTCTGATGGCACTGGACCTTTGCTCACAGGGTTCTGGCTGATCGTGTCATAAATCTCCTCCTCCAGTTCAGAATTTGAGATGAACAGGTGGCTCTGTGGATGCCAGTCGAACACTTATCCCTAATTCCTGCAACATCTGCATCAGAATGTAGTACAGTAAAATAGCACCCCCTACTGAGAGCAGCAGGAACACCTGCCACTCCGGCCAAAAGAAACCAGAAAACAGACCTCCTTGTATTGTTTGGCATAAATAACAAATAAAACTAACTGTAGGCAGCTCACAATCACAATAGCAGATATTGTTAGGAAAAAGCTGATCATAATGGCAGAAATGAGGTGTGTTTGAACAGTCCACTGTGTGTGTCTCCCTGCAGCTGCCAGGTATTTGGTATCATATCAGCACTTCTCTTAGCTTCCTAAGATGGTGACAATAGCAGTGGCTGACTATCACTGCAGGCTCACTATGCTGCCAACACTAAGCAAATCCAATTTAGTTCTTGCCTTCAGCATCTGTGCAGCCATAGTAACCCCTGCCGAACAGAGCCGGTCAGCCCAGTGAATTTAGTGACATACTTGTCTTTTTAAATAATTTCACTTTAGTGTCGAAATGGCAGGCCTTTGTTTTTTCTTGGCTTTGTGCAGTACATACATTAGCATGTATGTGTCATATTGTTCATTTTAAATTAATATTTACCTCTCTGGTGCTATAGTAAACATGAAAGCCCTCATTTTCATATTAAATTCTGAAAATGTCAGTCAACTGAGCTAAACCTCAGAACATAACATTCTGACCAATGAGGGGACCGTGTGCATATGACTTGTGTTAACAAATTGTGGTCTGTTTTGAAATATTTGCTTGTGAAATTGAACCGAAACAATGAGAAAATGAAACTATTTAGTCCCTGTTTTGAAACTGTATCTGTAATTGAATGCATTAATGAGTGGTTTATATATGTGTTCTGCACTGAAAATATATTTGAATGCACTTTTGTAATTTATCCCATGATTTTGGTTCTCAAATATATGTGATTTGAACACTTAAAAGACTTTCGATAAGGATAGATGGTGTTTGTGGTGACTATCAGACTATCAAATGAGCTCCAGTCAACCTCTCTAGAAACTCTTCTGTAATAAATGCAATGCATGTTGTACATAAACATTTCAAAGGTGTCTCGAAGTGTGACACCAACTCGCTGTCTGAGCATCTGAAGCGCTTGTTTTAGGAAATTATCATGTGGCGTCATGAATAATTATGAGACTGTGGCTTATCTCTGGATACAGTCTTTAAACACAATGGCACTACAGCGTTTGTGTCAGACAGTAACATTGGATTGAGGGTGGATGATGGCACTGTTGCTCTGACGTATTTCTGGTGTCAGGAGGATGTTTCTAAATCAGGATTTAGCAAGGGTTAAACCCCAAGAGGCCTGGCCCTCTGGAGCTAAACATGACATACCACAGCAGTCAGGGCTCAAACACACCTCGCGCCTCTTCTCCTTTCTCCTGCCATAAATACCATCTCCTCCTACAGGAGTATAGCTGTCAATCTTCACTGTTTATGTAGGAGAATATGCAACACTGACTCATTAAAAGGTGTTGTGGCCTAAAATTAATTCAGCATGGTGAATAAACACTCTCCAACTCAGTTTAGGGCTGTTAAGAGGAATTTTAATGGCGTGCTTGAGCGAAGCAGTCTGATGAGTTTGTTAATTCTGCATTTTAAGTCACAACATTGGATTGTTGTTCTGCAAAACAATTATTAAGCAAAACAATAATATATGAACATTAAATGAGCCATTTAATTAAAACATGCAGAACAACCTGTGGTTGACATTTCATGTATTTTTTTAGACAAGTAATCTAACACATAGAAAAACAAGGAATTAATTACTTACCAGTTAAAATGTAAGTTAAAAATAACTGTTATAAAGTGCATAAAATGTTTCACCACCAATTACAGTTTCAATATAATGCATATTAAAGGAATAGTTCACTCAAAAATTAAAATTTGCTAAAATAAATAAATAATAAGAATAAGAATAATAATTACTCACCCTCAAACCATCCAAGAAGTAGATGAGTTTGTTTCTACACTCATTCCGACGGCACCCATTCACTGCAGAGGAGCCATTGGTGAGTAAGTAATGCAATGCTAAATTCCTCCAAATCTGTTTATTCTTTTTTTATTTTATATTTTTATTTATTTTTTGTTATACATGATCTTGTTCAGAAGAACAAGTGGTGAAAGTTTCAGGGGTCTGCTGGGCATTATAATAGTTTGACCGGTCTCTCTGTCTGTTTGTTTCTCTTCATAGCCCCCACGGTGGTGTCGTTTTCGTTCGATGTAGGAAACGGGCCGGTGGAACTGAACGTGCACTCTCCTACCCTGCTGAACGATGACCAGTGGCACCGGGTCAGTGCAGAGAGGAGCACGAAAGAGGCAATTCTGCAACTAGACCAGAAATACCAGGAGGTCAGACCTGCTCCTACACAGGGACACACACGCCTGGAGCTCTACAGCCAGCTTTATGTGGGTAAGGACCACATGTACATCCACATGTGAATCCATATATGGATTCATGTGGGTGAGGACTTCAGACAAACACATTTTTCCATACACCCACCCCTACAGTACTGAAGCCTGCTAATACTTGGTTATATTGTTGGAGGTTGGATTACTGTTGTTCTTTGGTAGGCATTCATAATAGTATTGATGGACTGCACAACTCTTGAAAATCTGATCGCAGATGAGATCTATTGCTGATTAGGATGGACAAAAAGGATGTTTCTTCATTATCGTTGTTACGACTCCTTAATAGTTGTTAATGTTATTGGCGTCCAGAAGTATAGGAAAGTAACACAGTAATAAATTAATAAAAGGAATGATTGAAAATAAGAGAATCGTTTGTTACCAGAAAATGAATTGTGTGAAGTAATAAACAAACTAGAACACAGAATGAATGGATAAACTTTTAGTTAAAGGTTTTCACCAAACCACCAATTGCTCTACAAAAATTTACAGTGAAAACAGAAGTTCAAAAGATAAGAAAACTCATTTACAAATAATATACTCAAACACCAAAATAAATCAATTTAAGAGTGAGACGAGAGCGGAACCTAAATCAAAGAAATTAATAAAACAAAAACACCAACTAACTCAAATCAACCTCAATTCTAATCTAATCAAATAAAAAGAAAAGAAACTCTTCAGCATATCAATGCCATACTCTACGCTATCTATCAAAACAAAAATTACAAATGTTAGCTCCCACTCCTAATCTAGTGTTTTTATACAATCTGAAAGGCTACGTGTTGCTTGTGTACGTCACGTGACATATTAACCTTGTCTCAACTCCGAGTCGGGGAAACGTCCAAAAGAAAACTCTTTGAAGAATACATAATCAAGTCACAACACAATCGACAACAACACAACACTAAGAACAGCATAATAATTGGAAAAACACAAACTCACAGCAACAATCACAACTGGCGGACTTAACATGTGGACAGCAGAGCCAACAAACTAACGCGAGCCCGAGGAAAAACGCCGCTCCCGTCCAGCGTCACTTCCGACTCCTTATACCCCCCGTTAGACTCCGATTGGTTCCTTAAAAGAAGCTTCGTCACGTCAACAATGAAGAATGACAGAGAACTCCTCCAATCACAGGATCTGAGAGTTGAAGACAGGGGGAAAAAATGCAAAAAGGATGGGAAAGAAACCTTCCAAAACACTACGGAACGTAACACCCTCACCCTTAAAAGACAAACAGGTTACATGTTTGAAAGAGAAACGGAAAAAAAAACAACAAAAAAAACAAGCAATAACCCTCCATTTCTAGACTCTAGACAGGGCATCAGCCACTACATTATCTGTACCTTTTTTGTACTTGATCACAAGGTTGTAGCTCTGCATAATAAGTGACGATCTCATAAGCCTCCGGTTCTGGTTACACATGCGTGAAATAAAAATCAGTGGGTTATGATCAGTGTAAACCATCACCGGACGAATGGAGGAACCAACATACACTTCAAAGTGCTGAAGTGCTAGCAGTAAAGCCAACGCCTCCTTCTCTATGGTTGAATAATTATGTTGGCATCTGTTAAACTTCTTTGAGAAGTAGCAAATAGGATGGTTGATGCCATTCTGATCCTCCTGCAAAAGTACCGCACCAGCTCCTACTTCACTTGCTTCAACCTCTAACTTGAACTCCACAGAAAAATTAGGAGCGGATAATACAGGCTCACTACACAACAAAGCTTTGATATTGTCAAAAGCTGTTTGACATTCAGGTGACCATACAAATGATTCAGAAGGGCTAAGTAATGTAGTTAAAGAAACAGCCACAGAAGAAAAATTTCGACAAAAACATCTATAGTAACCGGCCATGCCCAAAAACCTACGCAACTCACGTCGGGTCTTTGGCACTGGAAATTCACTAATTGCTGTAATCTTAGCTGAAACCGGTCGTACCTGTCCTTGACCAACTTGTTTACCTAAATAGGTCACAGTTGCCTTGCCGATCTCACATTTAGTGAGGTTTAAAGTCAAGGATGCTTTCTCCAGACGTTTAAACACAGTTTCCAATAACGACACATGTTCGGGCCAACTCTGAGAGTAGACAATTAAATCATCCAGATATGCATTACAATTGTGAACATCAGCAAACACTACATTGACCAATCTTTGAAATGTAGCAGCTGCATTTCGCAGTCCAAACGCCATAACGTTGTACTGTAGAAAGCAGTCTGGTGTCACAAAAGCGGAAATTTCAGATGCTCTAGCGGTCAATGGAACTTGCCAGTATCCTTTGAGGAGGTCAAGTTTACTGACAAATTTTGCTGATCCTACACTATCCACACAATCTTCCATCCTTGGCATCGGAAAGCAATCGGGTATCGTTACTTCATTTACACGACGATAATCTGTACAAAAACGTTTAGTACCATCCGATTTCTGCACCAATAAGCATGAAGAACTCCAAGGGCTGATACTGGCCCTCGCCAATCCTTTATCTAACAGGTACTGTGTTTCCTGTTTTATTAGAGCTCTCTTAAAAGTATTAACCCTATAAGGGTGTTGTTTAATGGACTGAGTGTTACTTAATTTAATATCATGTTGCAGTACATTTGTCAATGTAGGAACATCACCTAAGATAGAGGAGAATTTATTAAAAATCTCAACAATATCCTGCCTTTGGTCAATGGTAAGATGAGCCAAAAAGGCCGACAAGTTCACAAGAGTTTCGGAGTTTGATAATCTGGCAGATAATAATGGCGTTTCAGGCTCCAAGAAAACATCCAATTCATCATCTTGCTGCCCCGTAGCTGAACTGGCCCTACACGCTACTCCTACTGGAAGAACAGGGTCATTTCCCTTCTCCACGGTAAGAAAGTCCCCAACGCTTTTTGACGCTTTCTATCAGGAGTTCTCACCACATAATCGGTCTCACCCTTTTTCTCTAGGATCTCATATGGCCCGGAAAATCGTGCAGATAATGCAGATCCAGGAACGGGAAGCAAGACCAAAACTTGATCACCAACTAAAAAAGATCTGGTCACAGCCCCTTTATCATAGCGCTTTTTCATTATTCCCTGAGCTTTACACAAGGACTCCCTTGCCAGAGAACACGCTTTCTGTAGTCTTTCATGGAATTTGCTTATGTAATCTAGCACATTTGTTTTATCAGCGGCCTCAATGCCTAGCATTCTTTCCTTTAAAACCTTAAGAGGTCCTCTCACCGTGTGTCCGAAGACCAACTCAGATGGACTGAACCTGAGAGATTCCTGCACGGTTTCCCGAATTGAAAATAAAAGCAATGGAACTCCTTCATCCCACTCGCTTCCTGTCTCAATGCAGTATTTTCTCAACATGGCTTTTAGTGTCTGGTGGAATCTCTCCAGCATTCCCTGACTTTGGGGGTGATAAGCACTAGCCACACGGTGTGTAATGTTTAGTGACCTAAAAACTTGTGAACACAATTTAGATAAAAAATTTGTTCCTTGGTCTGTTTGAATGACCTTTGGTAAGCCAAAAGTAGTGAAAAACTTCACTAAAGTTTTAACAACCACTTTGGCTGTAATTTTGCGTAATGGAATAGCTTCCGGATACCGGGTAGCAGTACACATAATTGTGAGCAAGAACTGATTACCCGACTTAGACTTTGGCAAAGGCCCCACACAGTCTACTATCACATGTTCAAAAGGTTCCCCCAACACCGGAATTGGAATTAAAGGAGCTGGCGGAATCACCTGATTAGGTTTACCTGCGTATTGGCAAACATGACAGCTCTTACAGTACAATGTCACATCACGCTTTAGTACGTACCAAAAAAAATGTTGAAGAATGCGGTTATAAGTCTTGGTAATCCCCAAATGTCCTGATAATACATGATCATGCGCCAATGTCAAAATCTGCTGACGAAAATTAATAGGCACTACTACTTGATAAACCACGTTCCACTCATCATCGGTAGAATTACTTTTATGCCATTTCCTCATCAGCAAATCGTCTTTAATCAAGAATGAAACATTGCCCAACTCATAATTCCCTACCAGCTTAAAACACTTTTCTAATGAACAATCATTTCTCTGAGCCTCAATGAGTTTTTCACGAGTTACAGTAAACATCACTGGATCACTCACTATAACTTCTCTCACCTTATCACTATCACTGAGCTTAGTTTCTGCAACTTCCTCAGCTCCGCCATCTGTACCTAGGAAAGAGTCACCTAAAGAAAAGTCATTCTCTTTCTTTGCTTGGGCACGGGTAACCACACATGCAGGAAATGCACTTGGGTATTGCTCAAACAACTCGTCTGTCTTAACCTGGCTCAGCGGCGAGTCCAATACTTCTAGTGAAGGTACCACCCTCCCTCCAGCTAAATCATTACCCAAAATGAAAGCCACACCTTTCACCGGTAACACCGGGCGTACCCCTATCTCCACCAAATTAGTTACTAAATCAGACTGGAGATAAATGCGATGTATGGGCACCTTCAAAATTTCCATATTAAAACTCTGGACTAACCTACTGGATCCAGCTGACGATTGGTCTGAAAAAGGTAACACCTCAGCACATATAAAAGACTGCGCAGCTCCGGTGTCACGTAGCATCTGAACTTCCACCTGATCCTCCTTCCTGCCAGTCAAAGAAACAAACCCCTTAAACAGGAAAGGCAAATATGTAGGGTCCAACTCTTCCTGACCCTTCTCAGAAAATGTACATGAATTAATAGAGTTAACAAATGCAACTTCTTTTTTCAGAGTGGGATGCTTATGCTTCAAAGTTAAACAGTCAGCAATAACATGTCCTTTTTTATGGCAATAAAAACATTCACGAGTTTCTTTGAACTTCTCAGAATTCTGCTTATGCAGCTGAGCACTTACAGAAGCTCTCGGCAGGAAATTCTTCTCGACACCCATTGACTGAAAAACATGTTTATGCGTAAGCACATACTCGTCCGCTAACACTCCAGCTTGTGATAGCGTTGTTACTTTCTGTTCATTCAGGTACAGCACCATCCTTTCTGGAAGA